CGCCCGCCCCGCAGCCCCGCAGCCCCGCAGCCCCGGCGCCCCGCAGCCCCGCAGCGCCCCGACCCCGGGGACGCCGGCCGCGCAGTAAGTTGGCAGGAGCGAGTGGCCTGGGCGGCTCGCCTCCCCCGCACCTTTTTGAACTTGTTGCTGTTGGCTCTGCCTGCCTGCGCCTGGCTTTTGGGAAGGTGACGAGGAGGAGGGAGGCACGGAGGGTGGGGGAAGGGGACGGGGAGCTCGCCAGAGCTTTATTTATGCTCCCCGGGAGCCTGGGATCCGGCTGCTCGGGAGCCGCCGGCTCTCCCTTTCCTTTTCCGGGTGCAAGGCGACGGCAAAGTCTCTATGCAACTCAGCCCCGGCGCGCACTTGGCCAGGTATGCACCGCGGGCGCGGCGCCCTGCGCGCGGAGGCAGAGGCTGCGGCCGCCACGGCGGCGGCGGCTGCCAGCTCCCGGGCTCCGGAGCCGGCGCGCCGCGCCTGAGCTGAACTTGACCCGGGAGTGAAGGGGGCCCCATCGGGCGAGCGAACCGCTCCCGCCCGGCGCTCCCCGAGGGCGTCCGTCGACGCGGGGGGAGAGCGAGCTCCAGACCGACGCCCCCCGCCGCGAGCCCCGCGCTTCCCCTCCGTCCGTCCACGCGCACGCAGCCGGGGTGGACCGAGGCGGCCAGCGGACTCCGGGGGACCCGGGACGGCGCCCGCGGCCGCACCTCCGGAGCCACGACAACAGGTCGTCTCTCGGAGACGCCTTTGGCGGGAAGGACTACTCGGGCGGCAAGAAAGGAAAGGTGGGAAGGTCCCTTCTCTTAAGAGGCCGCCGCTGGGCGACTTTCCCCGCGCCTGCCCGGCTGCCCCGCATCCCGACCCCCCAGCCAGCGGACTGCGGGGGGAGAAGCGAGCGCAGACACCTGTTTGCGCAGACGGCTGTTCCTTAAGTCACCTGCGCGCCGACGTGCCCAGCTGCTGGCAGAGATTTGTTTGAAATCTCCACGGAGAGAGAGAGAGAGACTTTTGGGGTCACCGTGTGTTTTCAGTAGCATCCCAAACTCTGGTCTGTGAGGGAGGCCTGAGGACCGTGACTTACGCGCGCCACCCCGGGAGAGCCTCGAGCCCGTGAACGGGGGTGTCGTTCGGCGTGAAGGAGCGTGGCGTTGGGTTGCTTCCCTTGTGGCCCTCGGGGGGACCCGGGTCGTCCTCGTGACCTGCGCTCCCGGACAGCATGGCGGCCGGAGTGGCGGCATGGCTGCCCTTCGCCAGGGCGGCCGCCATTGGGTGGATGCCTGTCGCCTCGGGGCCTATGCCAGCTCCGCCGAGGCAGGAGCGGAAACGGAGTCAGGATGCCCTGATCGTGCTGAACGTGAGCGGCACCCGCTTCCAGACCTGGCAGGACACGCTGGAACGCTACCCGGACACTCTGCTGGGCAGTTCCGAGAGAGACTTCTTCTACCACCCGGAGACCCAACAGTACTTCTTTGACCGTGACCCTGACATCTTCCGCCACATCCTCAATTTCTACCGCACGGGGAAGCTTCACTATCCCCGCCATGAGTGCATCTCGGCCTACGACGAAGAGCTGGCCTTCTTCGGCCTCATCCCAGAGATCATCGGCGACTGCTGTTACGAGGAGTACAAGGACCGCAGGCGCGAGAACGCAGAGCGCCTGCAGGATGACGCCGACACCGACAACACCGGGGAGAGCGCGCTGCCCACCATGACCGCCAGGCAGAGGGTCTGGCGGGCCTTCGAGAACCCCCACACCAGCACCATGGCCCTGGTGTTCTACTACGTGACCGGCTTCTTCATTGCCGTCTCAGTCATAGCCAACGTGGTGGAAACGGTGCCCTGTGGGTCCAGCCCAGGGCACATAAAAGAACTGCCTTGCGGGGAAAGGTACGCGGTGGCCTTCTTCTGCTTGGACACCGCCTGCGTCATGATCTTTACTGTGGAGTACTTGCTTCGCCTGGCCGCAGCGCCTAGTCGCTACCGTTTTGTGCGAAGCGTCATGAGCATCATTGACGTGGTGGCCATCCTGCCCTATTACATTGGGCTGGTGATGACAGACAATGAGGATGTCAGTGGAGCATTCGTCACACTCCGAGTCTTTCGCGTCTTCAGGATCTTTAAGTTTTCCCGCCACTCTCAAGGCCTGCGTATACTGGGGTACACGCTCAAGAGCTGTGCCTCAGAGTTGGGCTTCTTGCTCTTTTCTCTTACAATGGCCATCATCATCTTCGCCACGGTAATGTTCTACGCGGAGAAGGGCTCCTCAGCAAGCAAGTTCACCAGCATCCCTGCTGCCTTCTGGTACACCATCGTCACCATGACAACGCTGGGGTAGGTGCCACTGTAGGAAATGGGATAGAGATTGGACATGGCAGGTTGACGGAATCTCTTAAGGCTTCCCGATACGTTAGAGTGACTACATTTTTTTTCTTTTAATGGATTTATGAAAGCACTATTTATTTATATAAAGATTTGGAAAAAAAAAGATTTTGCTCTGTGAAATGGGTATGACAAAAAGATTGAAAGTACCAGGGAGTTGCAGGCAAATATTAAGTATTGATACTAGAAAGTGACAAATATAGAATTAATAGACTAATTAATAGATGTGGGTTTCAACCAACATCTATTATAGATGGGTTTCAACCTAAAATCCTGGTCTTATTTTGCATTATAATAAAAATTGTAGAAACTATTTTCAAAGTATTTTGTAATATATCAGCATTTTATCATGTTCCTTTTCATTATGACTAATATGTTATCTTTAAAATATCAGATTGGAAACTGGTCAACTACACAAAAAGTAATATTTGAAAGTCTAGGTTTGCCTTTTTTTTTTTTTTTCCTTTTAAAGAAACATATGGCGCTCATCTCTACAGTTTTCAGATGTGTTGGAACCTATTAGGCAAAAAGTCTACAGATTGTCCATCAAATACATATGAAAGGCAGAGCAGTGTCTGTGTGATTAATGGTTAGCATAGGCCAGCTGCAGTGTAGAATTTTGGGTTCCGAAATTTATTCTAGAATTCTTTCCTTCATTCTTTTATTTGAGGGCACAAAGTTTTACAAACCGAAGGAATATATGCTGAATTCATGTTTTCTGAAATGGACTTTTAGGGAAAGAATTAAGATTTCTTTAGGTATTATAAAGAAGAATTGTGTGAATGATTATAAGTGTTAATCAACTGCAGAAAAGTAGCAACACTTGCCACAGTAGAAAAACTACTAAAATAAACTGGAAAGAGCCAGCTACGTTTTACGAGCTCTAAGATAATCCTTGGAGAGATATCACTGTTCTTTCTTTAGCTCTGGGCTACCTTTCTTGCCTAGGTAATCAGCATACGAAGGATTTGGTAATGGCTATAAGAAAAAAAAAAGTTATTCCCAAGGCTGTGTTTTCAGTTTTGCCTTTCTGGCTCATTTAATTGGCTTATTTAAATGACATTGTGGTTAAAGCCAACTTAATTTTATTGGACATATTGTACCGAACAGAATTTCTCATGGTATATGGCCAACTAGTGGAATATGTTTTTATGAGAGGAATTTTTTGGCTGAGTTAATGAAGAGACTGGCTAAAGTGAAATATAGTGTTTTGGATTTTGATTAAGGATGTAATTATAGCTTTTTAAAAAATGAATGAATGGAACCTGCATTCTTTTGCTTTTCTTTCCCTTTAGCTAGTTGGTTATTTTGTGGCAGATAAGCGAGGACACAGCCAAGCATTACAAGTGCTAACCCTTTCTCAAAAGACTTATGTTTATTTTATTTTTTGTCTTGTCTCTGTGTTGTGTGGAATCACGAAAGGACAATCAGGTAGCGGGAATTGCTGTCATGATTTCACATTTGAACTGTACTAAAGAAGATCTATGTTAAGAAGAAAACAAAGGAGGAACTATAAAAAGGCAGAATACTCTTAAATTTTTGGTGGTGTGTAGGTTTTTTTGTGAGGGCTCAGCCAGTCATTTAAGGTTACATATTGGCTATATGGTTGAATGTGGGTATCATTACAAGGAATGGGGATGAGCTGCTAATTTTAAGGAGCTGAAATCTTCATTCTAGACTTGAGAAGTTAATGTTACCATTTGTTTTGAGGACAACTTCCAATTCTTACTCTAGGTTGAAATAAATGCCTACTTTCTGGGAAAGTGGGGCTATGTTACTATTAATGATGAGATTTATTATATAAAGTAGATGCTCACTAACATTCTCTTGAGAATGATTTAAGAAACTAAATTGAATATACATAATAAACCAATTACATCTGTTTGTCCTGCAGGTAAGCAGATAGGAACAGTTAAATACATGTACTTTCTAGAACTTAGACGCAACATGGGGCCTTAATTTTGAAGGCTTTAAGTTTTACTGAAGTTTAGAAATTTTGTTTTTTAAGAGATTAAGCTAATTAATGACTCAGATGGAAAAACAGTACTCAGGCTCATAATATCAAAACAAGAATAAACGTGAACATTTAGCAAAGCCAATGCTTTATGTAATACACAGCATTCTCTTAGGGGAATATCTGCAGTTCCTTATTTTAATGTGTTTGTAGCATTTTAATTGCTTGGACAAATAGATTCTTAACGGCCTTGTCTTTTTTTGTGTCTTATTGTTAGTAGCCTTATGGTCTGGGTTATTTAAGAATGGAAGAATTGTAACACACCCATGCCTGATTTGATCTTTTATGCTGCAACTTTAGGAGCTTCAGCATAAACTTTTTGGAAAATATTAAGTAGTTTCAGCAGCTGCCAGGCTGTGTCTGATAGATGTTCAAGAACTTTATACCAGACTTTCTCAGTCCTCTTTATGTGGCTATTATTTTTAATGAAGTTAATATTTATTAATTGATGATATTAGATGTGAAATTGATATCCCACATGATATTGTCAGAAGGACCACCTAATATAAATACTATGTTCCCAAGACAAAGAAAGTAGCCAAGGACGTTCTGATCCTGGTCTGCTAGAATCAACTACTACTTTTGAGGTCTCTGTAGACTATATCCAGGTGATTTTTGTTTTTGAAGAACTCATTGTTTCCGTGTTAAGACTACTGTGTGTATATCGTCACGTTTTGCTTCTTTATTATCAGCTTCAGCATAGATTATAGTATGGTCATATTTACTATGAAAGTGTCTAATCTGCCAGTAAAATGAATATAGTTTCAAGGATATTCATCTTAGTGAAAGCACAACATGTTAAATATCAATAAGAGGATATAAGGAAAAAAAAAAACCTCTTTTATGTTTAGATTGAGTGATGTGTGTATCAGTTTTTCATCTCATTCCTCCTTTTTGAGCATATTTATTGACTGACGCAGGCCCAGAGGGCTATCTCCCAACCCTCCCTCTGCACTCCCTTTCTGTAGTGTAAGATCCTCTTTGGATATGGTTTGGAAGATCATATGCAGTTGATCTTTTTAGCGGGGTGGAAGTGCTTGCATCATGCTGAGTTTACAAAGTTTCTGAGTGCTTCCTAATAACAATTAGAAGTTACTTTGTGAAACTGGATTCTCTGAAGTTGAGACTCAGTTTCCAACTCTACTTCATGCTCTGACTTGTGAATGGAAGCCATCTCAGGTAGCAATTAAAGACTTAATTAATTAATGCCATGTTAGGTAACATTTGTGTTCTCAGTCATGTTTTCTCATATTGCTCATAATATGAAGCTCCAAGAAGTTCAGAAATATCATTCTTGTGGTCTATTCCTCTTCTTATCCATAAAACCAAGTTGACCTGCATCAACATTCCAAATTTTTGAGATTCTAGGCATGTGCCTTCATCGAAAATTTTGCTTTTGAGAAAAAGAATAAATGAGTTAGCCCAATGGTAAAGGGCATGCATAGCAAAAGAGAATCCTGAATTTTTGTCTCAGTATCAGATTAAATTTTTTTTAAAAAAAAAAGAAGAGGAGAAAGCAAAGTAATATACTTTTATTACAAAATTTCAAACAATGAGTTATTATTTTCTTAGAAAGGCATACTTTGAGACAAATTTATCATATTTATATGATCATATCTACCAAATAGGACACTTTTAGTAGTATGTATTATTGAAAAGAAGAATGGAGATGCTTTGTTTTTTGAGATAGGGTCTCAGTATCTCGGTATTGACCTGGAGTTCACTGTACAGTTTTACAGTCACGTGACTGTAGGCCATGCTGACCTCAGAGTCATAGGAATGCACTTTTAAATAACATCTTCCTACTACCTGATACTATGTAGGTGACATAAGTTTGGGGAATGCTGGGAGGATAGTTTGCAAAAATTATTCACAAACTTCTAGTGTTCCGACTGAGAAATGTGCGGAGTCACGTTCCCGTGTGCTCTTCAATACAGAATATTGCTAATGTGTTCACCCGAAAATCCTTAAAGGTGAGAGACACACAAACTTATCTTTCTGGTGAAGAACAATACTCTAGATAGCACTTGCTTTATTCCAGTATACTTTAGCATTTATAAAAAGTTCTTTATAGGGAATTATCAGACTGTTGACATGGACTTTTAAAGAACTACAGAGAAATAAGATATATGTATTTGCTCTTCCGCATCAAAGATAAATCTTAAATTGTTTCACTATATTTTACTCTTTAATTTGAATTAGAAATAATATCTGATTACATTTTTAAAATTATATATTTTAGAATCTAAAATGTGAAACTTCAGTTTCCACTTGATTTCCAGATGGGAGCTTGCCAGAAAAATATGTGAGTGAGAAGGGGACACTCAGATTTCCAGTGTGTCTGCTAAGCTTTCCTTTCCCAGTCTCAGTTCCTCTTGAGACAACTAATTGACTTTTTAAATACTTATTTTATTTTTAGAGTTAAATCACTTATTTCTGTGGTTTCCTCTCTATTTTATTTATCAGTCCCTCCCTCCCTCTCTCTCTCTCTGTGTTTGTGTGTGTGTGTGTGTGTGTGTGTGTGTGTTTATTTTCGTCCTCATGGCTCTTCACTCTGTTTTTTGAGACAGTGTCTCTCTGCAGGTGGGCCTTGCTGATTTGGCTGCTGGAATCTTGTCTTTACCCTCCCAGCACTGAGATGATAAATTCTCCTATATGAAGCTGTTTTGCATGGTTGCTGGTGGTTCAGGCCATGATTGTACCACAAGCGCTTCTCTGCACCACGTGTATTTGTTTTTGGATGAGCTTCTGAAGCCCAAATCTCCCCTTTCTTTGTAGTTTTCATTTTGTTGCAGTGCAGGCTGGCCTCTGACTCAGGAGGGAGCTGAAGATGACCTTGCACTCTAGATTTTTTAGTCTCTGCCTCCCGAGGGCTGGGATCACAGACTTGTGCCACCATACCTGACTCTGAAGTTCAGATTTCTTATTACCTGGTTGC